ATTTGCTTCCTTGACTCTGGCCTCTTTCAAGCAGGTTTAAAGTAATGTGTGATCGAAGGTGAAGCTTAAGAAACTAATGGATTCTTATTTCAGTGTGTGTCATTCGTGGTTGTGTACCTAAGAAAATTTTGGTCTATGATGTTGCTTTTGGTGCTAACTCGAGGTGAGAAGACTTTGTTATTTGAGAAAGACTTTGTTAGTTATTTCTTCAATTTATATAACCAAATTTAACCCGACAGCTATGTTGGCGAAATTCTGAGAAATAGTAAACCTTCTGCCGCACCTGTTTTCGGAGCCGAAATCTAAGGGTTTGGAGTGAGATTTTCGAATCAGTCTCTTCACAAAAGTCGTCGAGGACCGTGATAATTATATGTAAGTGTTAAATTGCTTCTAATTCGAGCAAGTTTTATAGCCTTTTAGAGATGAGAATTTGACGGCAGTGAGTCTGCCAAAAACAGGGCAGTTTTGATGAATCATCTTCGTTGGGTTTTATTACCGTCTTAGGATAATAATTTGGGATATATTTCTTAAGTAAACTTTTAGATGAAGTTGTCAGCTTTGATTTGGTATATTGTTTGGCCAATTTGGATAACTTTGCAAATACTTATGAATTTTACAATAAACTGTACCAGAAAAGAGAATTTATCCGAAATTCTGGCAGTTTTCTGTAATCATCTTTTGGGACTGTTTTGCATATGCTGGGATCATAATTTGTGATCAGAGTCATCAGTGAACATGTAGATGCAGTTGTTAGCTTTCATTTGGCATATTACGTTCCCAATTTGGATAATCGTACCAATTGTTATGATTTTTCAAAGAAATTGTGGAAACAAATGTTTTAAACCTTTGTTTCGAGAACTCGTCAAACAAACACGAGTCAACTCCGTACCATGTGAATTGATGCCTGGAGTGTGTTGTATTTGGTAAATAGAACGCCATAGAAATTGTGTATTATGTTCGATTGTCAGTTATGGCATAAGATTTAAGTTAGGATGTTTATATGAAATAGAACCGAATAGTAAACGATTATGTTAACATTCGATAACTTGTTTAATTCTAATATTTGATAGGTGTTGAGTATATTTATGCTCTCATTAAAGACTTGAGCATGACTCCAAAGTAAGGTGTTTTTATAGCACTTGCATTGGACTTCAGGTGAGAATCTCTATTTCTTCACTATTATTTATTAAATTTTGAGCGCACATACATTATTGAATTTTGAGTGCTACTAACTGACAAATGATTGGAATTGATTCTATCATATGATTTCTTATTTTCTAATTGATTTTTTTCCCTTTTTCAGGTTGGACTGTTTGATGAAGTGAAAGAACGTTATCGTGGAAGTCATATTTGTTGTTGCTTAACAATTTATGAAGTGGAATTTATTATGAAATAATTATAGTAATCTTTCTTATTATTTGAAATGATAGATTTATTATTGTATGTAGTATGATAGATTGAAATTATAATATTCACATTTGATTGATAATGTTTAAATTTGCAAGCTTTTAGTTTTATTTTAATTTTTTTTTACAGCCACTGTTGCAAATAAACATTAATGATTAATGCAACCAATTAATTATTGGTCTGAATTGGTCAGTAAATTTAATAATTGCCGCAATCGTGTAAAAACTATTGCAACCAATAATATGGTCACTATATGTATATATTTTAGCAACCAACAGATATATTATTTATCAACCAATATATACCGTCACTATATGTATATTATGTAGCAACCAAAAAATGTGGTGGCCAAATATATATCCTATAGCAACAATAAAATATGGTCACTATACGTATATATCATTTAGCGGCCAAAATTATATGGCCACTATATATGTTGCTATAGCAACCATGTTAATATTATTGCCACCATAAAATTTACATTAGCGAGTCGAAAACTGGTCGTTAATAATTATATTTTTAGTGACCACTATTAGTTCGCCACTAAATCCCATCTTTTAGCGTCCAATTAATTTTCTTGTCACTGAGTACTTTTAGTAACTACCCTATTGTGACCACCGGTGACCAAGCTTAATTTGGTCGCTATAAGTTTTAGCTACCATTTTCTAACTTTTAGCGACCATACAAAATCATCACTAAAACCAAAATTTCTTGTAGTGCATGGCATTATCCGTTTGAAAAACCTTAATGACTTTTGAGAATTGAGTTTGAACCATTTTGGCAAAAGTCTTATAGATAGAGGTGAGTTCAGAACGATTATGGAATAAGTATATCCATGTATATCGGGAAAAATCGTCAATAAAAATGACAAAGTATTTGGATCCACCCATAGTAGCGGTTGGTGATGGACCCCAAATATCTGAGTGAACTAAATCAAAAGGGGCAGTAGAAACATGAGAACTTTTATTGAAAGATAATGCTGGTTGTTTGGCTAGTTGACAGGAAATACACTTTAAAGTGGATGACTTGATGGACCCTAATTGACCGCTATTGACTAATGAAGTAAGAACACTTGAAGAAACATGACCTAATCTATGATGCCACAACTCAAAGGGAGAAAGAGAAATAGTAGGAGAAGTAGTTGCGGCAACCTGGGAACTAAGATATCCAGACGGTAGATGCAGAGACACCAATTCAAACATTCGACCTCTCTTATGGCCTATCCCAATTGTTTTCCCCGTCTTTGGATCCTGCACAACACAACCAGATAGAGAAAAATGCAAGTCAAATCCAAGATCACACAATTGACCCACAGAAATAAGGTTAAGGGTAAGGTTTGGAATGTAATAAGTATGGGGTAGAGTAAGAGATGGTGTAGATACATGCCCAACATTATTGACTTGCATACAAGAACCATCAGCAGTGTGGATTATAGGTGCAGGTGTAGGAGTGGTAAGAGAAGATAAGCAATTTGAATCAGAGGTCATATGATTGCAACAACCAGAATCAAATAACCATTTAGACGTACCTGTAGTTGTAGAAAGGGCACTAGAGTAATTACCAGACTTTAGTTGGGATAAAAGGTTCTGAAATTCAGAGAGTGATATGGAAGGTTCAGAGACAGGAGAGACACTTGATGACCCTTCAGTGACAGCAGCAACAGAAGACTTATTTGGTTGATAAGACTGCCGAGAGTTTACCCGTTGTCTCCTACGACATTTGTCAATGGTATGACCAATTGCATGACAATAGTTGCATTTGACAGATGAATATTGCGTCGAATCTGGAACTGGGTTGGGGCACTTGGATGCTATGTGACCAGTCTTATGACACGAATAGCAAGTGATGGGAGAACGAGGTGGTTGAACTGCTGCAGCAATGTCAGTTCCAAACACCGTAGGGATAGCGGACATAGTACTCAAACGGATATCTTCAGAATTAAGTTGTTGGAGAGCAAGATCGAGAGTAGGCAGCGGAGTACGACTAAGAAGGGAAGCTCGAGTTGCTTCGTATGTAGGCTGAAGAGCTTGAAGAAACTGGATCAGACGAAATTGGTCCCGCATGATAGTATATTTTTCTTCATCATTAGGGGTCTCCCATTTTGGTTCACATTCTGCGAGTTGGTCCCGGATAATTTGCATTTGATTATGAAACTCCGTGATGGACTGACCAGGCGCTTGCTTGAGTTGATGCAGTTCAGTGAATAGATGATACTGATGAGATAAGCTAGTAGTGACATAACGAGTGGCAAGCATATCCCCAACGTTTTTAGGTGTCTCATAACGACCAAATTGTTGATGAATTGAGGAAATAGACGTGTTACGAAACCAAGTGATGATTTGATGATTCTTACTATCCCAATCTTCTAAAGCACCTTGCCATTTTTCAATAGCATCAGTATCTTTTGGATCTGGTTTAGTGGGTGCTTTGATATCTCCAGTAACGATCCGCCATTACTTACGCCCTTTGAGAAAACCACGCATTCCTTGGATCCACAGGGAGTAATTTTTACCATCGAGAATTGTGGGAATTGGTTGAGTGACATCGGAAAGAGCCATTGAAAAGGATTTTTTTTTTTTTTTTTTTTTTTTTTTTTTTTTTTTTTTGAAATAACTCTAGGACCACTCCGTCGATGTTCACGATAGGGCGATGGTGGCGACAGAATATGAACACAACGCCGGTTGTGGATGTTACGACAGAAGAACCAAAATTTTAATTTGGTTTGAAGTTGGCTCTGATGCCATGTTACGAAAAGAATTGAGATGAAAATAATGTGTATTCTTCTCAATAGAGGTGAGGGTATATATACACAAAATAACAAGCTATACAAGGAAACCTAATTAAATCAAATCCCTAAATTATGGATATAGAATATTAACATATCTAATCAAATCCCATAATAATGGATATAATATATATGATATCATATATATGATATAATATATATTAACATTTTGATTGCATTGCTTTGAACTGTTCTTGTTCTATTTTTTTTAATGTGATCTCCTGCATATATACTTACGCAACGATGAAATTTTTTAAAATTATTTGCGGTTGCGATTAAGTCGAAATAAGATCCACACAACAGCCATAGTGTCCCATAATGTTTGTTCAAATTTGTTCTTCCTAGTTTGGTTGGATGTTTGCCAAATCGTAACACTTTTTTATTTTTTACTATATCATCGTCTGAAAGAACCTCATTTGGCAAATAAACCTGTAATTTGGAATTTGAGATGCAAAAGATAATTGGGATGCAAATATTTTCATGTACTAATCGTAAACGAGTTGATACTTCTTTGGGGAGCTCGATGACTTGCATGTGTATTAAATGTATAAGTGTTACCATCCCCGGTGCTTAACATGTCGTTTCTGATTATTTGGTGCTTAAGTGTCCTCATTATTGTTATATTTCGATTTAGGAACAAACGAAGGAGTCAAATTCAAAATGAAGTTATTTCGAATAGCTTAGACACCTCTTCGTAAGACAGGCATAACTCTTTCGTCTGAACTCCATATGCGAAGTATAAATACAATATAGAAAGCCAGAAGAAGGCTCTGCAACTTGTATGCATGCTTGGAGATTTAGGAAATTCAGACTGGATCGAGGTCAAAGTTTAGGCCGATGTCGCTGCACCTGCACAGACCACGTTCTGCCGACGCTGTTCAGATTTATAATTAATGAATGGAGGCATTACAATGTACTGGGAGACTGTTTAGCCTGCTATATTACAGTTTACATACATAATGGCACATCATAAGTTTCCATGCATCTTACAGAATCATCAGGTTAATTCTTGTTGATTCAATAAAATTTGTGTGCAAAAATACCCTCGCTTTTATTTACATTATATCGCATTGAATTTTGAATCAAATTTAAATGTCAAAAATCGAAAACCATGGAAGTTGTAAATATTTCCATGGGCTATCCACCAACCACTATTTGAATCATTTCAATCTGAAATTGTATGAGAAAGTTCTGATCAAAATAAATCATGTTAATTAATTTTTTGGTGATTTATTGTCATTATTTAATTTGAATCTCTCAAATCACAATGGAGGTTGTAGTTATGTGTAACTTTTACAATGCAACTTGAACATTACCGTAGAATAAGTATATATACTTTTTCCTAAATTATTTTATTTCACCGCTGTGAATC